GCAACTACTCATGAGCAGACGACTCAGATCAACAATTCCCACAACTGACGCACAGCTCCAGCCTAAAGTCCTTGATTCACACAAAGTTATGGAAAAACTGAGGCTCAAACAAGAAAAACAAAAGCACTATTTTGATCAACATGCCAAACATCTCCCCACGTTAGAGAAAGGTGACCGGATCAGAGTGCAAATGGGAAGCCACTGGAAACCGGGCGTTGTAACAGATCATGCTGGAACACCGAGATCTTACAGGATTCGAACTGATGAGGGTAAAGAGTACCGTAGAAATAGAACAGGATTGATGAAATCACCAGAAAGCAGTCCATTACTGACATCTCACCTAATACTGATTCTCCAACGGTGAGAGCTTATGAACATTCACCCTCTAAGGAAACAGCAGACCAAGCAATCCCACTTGTTGAAAAACCCACTACAACATATCTCAACCAAGAGGAAATTGATTCATCTGAGGATGAGATCCCAGAGCCTCACAAGACAGCAAGTGGAAGAACTGTGAGAAGGCCTCTACGTTTCAAGGATTATGTTGCATAACAATGAACATATCTTACGTCTTGATGTTTGATGAAACTGTGGGACCACTGTGCCAAACATTTGTCTTAACAACTGTGTACACATTTCTAACAAGTTTAAGTTAGAGGAAATATTGCACTTTTAATAAGTTCTTGTTTTTTATTTCGTTTCACTGCCCAGCGTTTCTCAATTTGGTGTTAGTGTGCATACACTCTGTTGTGTTAATTTTTTCTTCTTTTCATTTTCGTTGGGGGAAGTTGTAATGATCAGCGGTATTACACATTACGGACATGCACATGAGGAGAACACATGAGCATCGTTTTGTAAAGAGGTTGGATTTTTAAATTATTAAAACTGTTATCAAAATCCATCATGTTTTCGTATCAAGAATATTACAGGTGAGGCAAACGGTAAATCTGGTACATTCACTATAAAACAACAGTCGGCTACACAAACAGATTGTATGGGCCCCCTGTGTTGCTACAAGCTTAGTAATTACAATACTATTAAGGAGGGTTCATTTGTTCAGCACCCACCTTGGAGCGGCTCCAAAGCTCTGATTAACACACAAGCACCAGCTTCTTGACTGGAGATATTCAAACAGTGATAAATTCCATATATAATGTAAACATAAGCTGTTCCAGGAGCCATATACATTGGTTCACACCGTTCAGTTTTCTTACCACCATACGCATGGCAAGCTTTATCAACCTCACCCAAATAAGCCTCAGTCTCAACTATTCTTCCGCATAACACTTCTCCATCGTCAAGGATGCGATAAAGCAACTTCCCTAGAAGATTTTTTGCCAGTTCTTCACAAGGTCTGGCGTAAAACAACCTACCAAGTTGATTCGAAATGTGGTTCTTATCGATTTTAAGTCTTGCTCTTTTGTATGGTATGACGTTTGAAATATCCTTACAATCTTTTTTGAAGTACACGCTTTCTTCACCCTTTCTTTTAACTTTACCTGAGAAGTCTTCCTCAGTTTTTACAGCGCAGTCGAGGCCGTTAACATTGCCATTTCTTTTTCGAGTCCTTAGCGCCGCCATGATGTTATTTAGTTTTCTACTTTATGTAACTAACACCAGATATCTCAACGAAAACGTTTTGGCGAGGGTTGTAATTACAATAGGCGGGATAACTTGTTGAGCCTGGTTCAATTACCAATCTATGATTTAAATTTCAGTTTTGAAGGTGGAAAAAGGAAAACCAGACAAATTTTAAGTTACAAAATGACAAATATTTATTCAATTAACAATGACATATAAATATATCTTATTAACCAAGTGCGAGGGCTGTACTGGAAGAATATTGGCCTGAGGTCTTGACAGTATGGACCGAGCGCAGCAAGGTCCGTACAAAAAAGACAGAGGGCTGATATTCTTCCAGTACGGTCCCAAGCAAGCTTGGTTAATAAGAGATTTATTATACGACTGAAGTTCAAAGGGACACAAGTGCGGTATCATTCGGGACCATTCGGGACAGTGCCCGGTCCAATACTTAGAGAATATTGGACCGGCAATAGAGCATTTTGATTGGTTGATTTTAGTTATTGGCCCTCTGACTGCCCGAGTCGTGTAATAAACTCATATATTGGGCAATATTCTGTGCGTTTTTTCTTCACTTAAAGCACGTTCTTGCAGCTTAGTCAAAAGAGTATCACAATCTTCAGCAACTGACAGAATGTCTTTGTTTTCACCATACACAAAACCTGCCTTCACTGCATTCTGAATCTAAAGAGGGAGAAAAACACAGGTATATAATGTTGGTATATAATAAAACTACTGACAATTTAATGAAGACAGTGAAAAAAGAAAGAAAAATTTCTTCATAAGGGTTTTTAAAAGACTTTGTTTATAATTATGTAGAGAAAGGAGAAATAAAAATGTAGAAATATTTTGATTTTCTTCACTTCTGACAATTTTTAGCTTGCCAATGAAACAGTGTAGAGTGTTAGTGTAAATTTGAAACAAAATTACCATTGGTATAAGTATGATAAGTTCTTAATATAATTTTTGTATATTAATATGGGAGGAAACTCTTCAACAAACCCATTCCAAAAAACTATCCCAGTAATTGGCCACATTCAACAATCCTATTGGTTTATCATGAAGTCCAAGTTGATACCTGTCAAAGTAATAAGAAAAAAAATATTAAAATAAACAGATGAAACAATGCTTCCAAGTATAGTTGATAACATTTTTGAAAAACTGATTCAGTGGAACAACAAGATTAAAGCTTCATTAACTGTCTTCTGGAGCAGAAGATAATCTGCTTAATGTCTCAACATTAGTTATTACCATGTGATCATTTCCAATAGTTCCTCAAATGTTCCAAAGCCTCCAGGTAAAGCTATCAGGGCATCAGCCTACAAATACACAGATTTCTGATTTAAGGTAATTAATATTGTAAGCAATTAAATTCATCCAGAATTATTATAGTGTTACAAAGAATGCAAGCAGCAATACTGCATTATAAGATGAATATAGAGGCTTAGGGTCAAGTTGAAGGATTCATATCAGCTTCATTTTTTTTTAACTCCATGGCCCTTTCCTTGTGAGTTTCTTTTTCTTGATAATGATTTATTAATTCATTTATTTATCACAAAATACAAATGATATTTTCACCACAAAATGCAAGTAATGATAAAAACAAGACAGTCACACAAAAACAAATAAAAGTGGTGAGGAAGCCCAAAGAGAAACCATGGGGCTTATAGATAATGGGCTCCCTCAAAGTGAAAAAAAAAAAGGGGCCGGTAATAAATAAAGTTAACAGTAACACTAAGGCCAGGATCGAAGGTAAAATACAATGAAGGCAAATATAGGTTAACTAATATAGGCTTCTTCTTAGAACAATTGCTGCTTTATCTTTTTGGCACACCCAACATAGTCTTCCCTTGGACTGAGAAGGTCTGCTGTATCACAGTTTATCCCTAGTATTTGAAATGTGTTTTCTTCAGAACATACCATAATGAATTTGGTGTGCCTCCCAAGCACTGACCATAAGGCCACTGTGCTTTTAGTTCATTGAAAGTTATATCCATAAAATTATTGTTGGTACCTGTTCTAACATATTTCTCTTCCTTGTATGCATATCTTGAACAAGTACAGTCTTTCCGATGCCTTCTATACCCTTAAAATCTGCGGTTAAAAATTATCCAAAATGGGTATATACTGATGCTTGATAAAGAGTACTTTTAAAGATTTATTTCAGCAAAGACACTAGGTTACCAAACTACCAAATATTTCTGTTCTCATCTCTCATGTAAACAGTTGTTCCTGGCAATTGTAATTGCCTAAATTGTGAGCATTCAAATACAAAATACTTACCAGCCCAAATACATGTTCACAATTGTTAGAATGTCATTTACAACATTATTGCTCCTAACCCTTCACCTTAGGGATCAGTTTGCTTGGCAATATTGCCTGGGCATTCATACCTCCCTTAACGAAGAACTCAGGAAGAAATCCAGTAACTTCACATCCGCCTTCCGCAACAGTTTCAGCCACAATACCCATAAGCCCAACAGAACCACCACCATAAATGAGATTTATTTTATTCTTCACTAGGCAGTGACCAAGAGCTGCAAAAATCAAAACCAGGGGACAATTCTAAATACAAGAAGATCTAGAGGAATCAACATCAACTGTATTTGGCAAGATTTCCGCACATATCTCCTTGATTTTTTCTTTCTCTCAGAAATGCAAGTGAAGAGTTTAAACGAGGAAGCTTACACTGTCAAAGGAATAGGTAATTTTTTTTCATGAAATATGCAAGTTTTTCTTTGCGTTGATCCACACAATTGCACCCATTTCTTGGCGTTTCACAACATAATTTGTACGTTCCAACTTGTTTTTGTAATATGTGCTTTTGATCAAATCTGACCAGAGACAAAATTGTTGCAAATTTCGACATAAAAGAGGTACCTCTGGCGCTTTCCTCAAATCTTTGATCATTTCCTAAGCTGGAACCACAAAACACGGTTATTGTTTTCAACGCCATGATCAATTACTAGGACAAAAATTAGCTATGCGTCTAGTTCCCAGGTTACTATGTTAGATTTTCCCGCCATAAGGGAGCTACGAGATAAGTTTACTAAGACCAACTTTAATAAATAGAGATATAGAATTGATATAGAATATAACCTGGGGGAGAAGTCAGTTAGAAGCAAACTTGCGTGGGTGAAGTGAGTAAACTCGAATTGTAGTCTTCCACGACCGAAACTCTCTTGCGCGATGCAAGTATTGCATTGCGTGATCGAAACTAATCCTTGGATGTTACCTTGAACATAGTCTCTATACAGTGCTCGCTTGACAATGTAACAATTCGTTTTAATGCCTTTTCTTGAGTTTTTTTAATTCTCCTTACAGCCTAATAATGTAAACAAGTGTGAGCGTATTTAAAGGCACTCGAGAAAGTTTCGGAGTTCTCCGCCGTTTTTCACTTTGGAACAGTACAATGATTGAAACCGTGCCTGTCGAAGAAACAGAAGACGACGGTAGTTTCAACTTCATTCGGAGAAGCCAGAGATGGGTCATATTTTGCGCCACCTTCACGAAAAAGGATGCACCATGGTAAAAGACAGAGAATGCCCTTTTTATTATCCATGGACACACTTCACCGGATTCATGTAAAGGATACACGAGTGCTCAGTGATTTGAAAAATGAGAAATCATCACGAAAGATTGGGGCCACTACATAACTGTTGGGCTAACACGTCACAAGAGCACTCTATAACCTGATTAATGCTCATGCAAATCATGACTTACTCTTTATTACAACAAAATAGCGAAGACCTGGGTCTCAAACCTAGGCGTTACGAGAGAAACTAACATCAAACTTGCCATACTATACTCAACACTGAGATACAACTTGAATGTCATTTTAACATTATATGACTGTCTAGAGCCGAGGGAAACGTACTGTTTTAAAATAAGAGACAAGGTAAAAAGAAAAATAAAGCGCATCGGTAGAAACGTCCTTTCGTTTTAGAAATCTCGAAGTGCTGGAAAAAATCAACTGCAGTAAAGCAGCTAGTTGTTTTCGAAGTATTTCTACACTGTTATTCTCCTTAAACAGGCATGTCCCTATCACCGCGATGAACTCGAACTTGATCGGCTGTATCTTCGTCGCCTCGGTGGTGATCGACTTCTGCTCCGTGATTTCGAACGAGACCTGCGCCTTGGAGACGGAGAACGTGATCGTCTACCCGCTCTGAACGAGCCACGGAATCGTGCAGGCGGTGATCTTCTCCAAGCTGGCATAGGACGGCGCCTAGGGGGTGGACTGGGACGGCGCGCGGGTCTAACGTCGCGTGGCCTGATAGGAAGCACCATCTGTGCAGTAATTTCTTGCCCATCAATCTGTCCTCCATCCATGTGTTTCAAGGCAGTGTCTGCATTGTCCGCTTCGTCATATTCCACGTATGCAAATCCCCTAGGCATAAAGTTAAAACGGTCCATGGGTAAGTCTACTGACTTAACATGACCGTATACGCTAAATATCTCGAAAACGTGATCCTTAGTGACGTTGCGTGTAAGATGAGCCACGTAAAGCTTAGCCGGTTTGGGGGTAGGGCTTCTTTTGCGTCGTCTCGGTGAGCGCGAAGAAGCTGAGGAAGACGATGAACGGGCGCGAGGTCCACGTTTCACAGGACTAGGAGACTTGGACACAGATTTGGAAACAGATCGCCGCGTAGGCCTGGTGCGTGGTGGTGGGGTGGGTGACTTGAGGGCTGGTGATTTCTTTGGTGATTTCTTTGGTGATTTCTTCGGTGATTTAGGAGGAGGAGGAGAGGCTTTAGGTGATTTCACTTTAGGGGGAGGGGGTAGGGCTTTATCTTTAACTTCTTTGGGTTCCTTTGTAACCTCTTTCACTTCTTTGGTCTCCTTTTCCTTCACTTCCTTTTTAGTCTTTGGGGCTTTGCTCTTTTCTTTCTCTAAAGATGAGAAAACAAAAACAAAAATATTGAAGCTATCAAGTAGGAAGATAAACAAATATTTAGTTCTGTGAAGAATAACATTAAAGGTTTACAGGCTATGGTGAAGTATGCTTATTTTTTTAAATATCTCAATTCAGCTCTAGATAATTTTTGACTGCAACCTTGTTTTCTTATACATTAAATTACTTGCTGAAATATTCACAGAATATCTGATTAATTATCACTGAAAAAGACTAACAGAAGGGAATTAGAGGGTTCATGGTGTTCATAATGTAAGACTAGTTGTACTCCACATACTCAATGGCATTCAATTTTAAAGCAGTTGCAAAAAGTTCACAAGCTAGTTGGCAAGAGTCTGTCCAAAGCAACATTCAACAATGCACTGGGTGTGACACAATTCATGTAGGAAAGAACTTCTGAGTTTATTTATGCAGCTATAAGTGGATGGTACCTCTTGCTCATCAATCTTGTGATAAAAAATGATGAAGTTTTTTTTTTTTTTGTCAAGAGATAGGTCTACTAAGCTGTGTGGATAAGTATTTCCCAAATGCTATGAATATTTTTTTCCAAGAAAATCATTTCATGAGATCCTTACTACTACTGCTGCTACTTGATCCACTGCTACTGCGACTGGACCCACTATGACTTGATCCACTACTGCTACTACTACTACTTCTGCTGCTGCTTGACCCTGAACTGGAGCTGCGGCTAGTGCTCGAACTGCCGGAGCTGGATGATGAACTGATGAGGATGGGCATGATAAATCATATAAAAAACCAAATTCAATAGTGTTATATTAACAACTGTGAATATATGAATATTATATATTTGAACTGGAGATCAAGAAATGAGGAGGTAGGTTATCATTACAGTTATGAAGACTGCTTAAGCAGTGGTGAAAATAAGGCCGGGGGAAAAAAAAAACTAAAGCTTGTATGCTAGCCTGAACAAGCCTAAACACTTTTCAGGCTTTATTTTCACTACTTCTTAAGTATTTGAGCGCATTTCATATATCCATATCTATAGAATGTGTGCACTACAAAATTGACATCACAACCAATACCAAATACCTGTGGGTTCAACCTTTCCCTACCTAAGTTTTGCATCATTTTCAGAGCTAAGCTGTGCTCGTAGGCATGAAACACAGTTTTAATCGTTACTTCTGAAATCACTGATGTTACTGGCGAACAAATCGTTGACCTGCGCAGAAGGTTACATATGGTAAGCAAACAATGATGAATACGCCAAGATAGTGGCTGCCAAGCTGAAACTGCGTAGATAATAGTTTTGTGAACAGGATAAAATTGATTTGTGGCGCAATGCTGGGGTCAAATCACCAATGCACAATGAAACTGAGGTGAAAGGCATTTATAAAGGTCTCACGAAAAGTGATAGTCACCTGCTGGGTGAACGACTTCGGCGGCGACTTCCTTTATCTGTGCCGTTTTTGGCAGTCGCTTTGCTTGAATCCCCTTTGCTTTTAGCCTTTGTCTTATTCTTAGTTGACTTAACTGGACTACGGCCACGGGTACTAGAAGTACGCTTTTTTTCTTTGTCTTTGCGAGGTGCTGGAGAGCGCGAGCGACTTCTGTGACCCCTGAAGACAGACAAAATTCACGGCAAAATTAACGTGAAAACAATCTAATATGTACCACGATATAATTAAAAATAAAACTTGATAAAAAGAGCAGCTTTTGAAGGCTCAGTAATAGCAAGATGGCCGAGGATCCTGCAGGAATCTACTCACATCTTGGAAACGCAAGCCCAACGCCGCCAAAATGATCGATCCTGCACTTGACTAGGTATCAGGTCCCGCTCTGTCATAGTAGAATCCAACATGGCGAACGGCTGCGGCCTTTTGAACTTTGATATAATCCAAAAGCAGTACTTACAAATGGCTCCGTTGAAATTTTTTATTTGGAAAGTAAGTTTATTTTTCAAAAAGAGCCAGTGGTGTCAAAACTTGGGCGATACATCTCTATTTTCGAGCAACATAAACTCGGGCTAGATGACTTAAGGGTAACTTGACTCCCCACTATTCTCAAACAAAAGCATTTTCCCCAAACTTATATTTTTTAACGCCATTGTTTTCGTTCATCTAACAACACTTATTTAATGAAATTGTATGGAATTGTACAGAATCTCTTTCAGCTGAATTCAACAATTTTATCCTTAATGTTATAATTGCTTTTCAGGCACTTGAGCAGGCAAGTCTCGACTTGGAAAAACAGAGAAAAATCCTGTGCATGGTTTGTCACTTTGTGATACATCGATAAATTTCAATTTTTATTTTTTCGTCTTTGAATTAGCTAGTAAAAAAAAATATATATATCTATATATATTTATATATATATATATAAATCCCCTGATGAGTGGGCGACCTCGAAACAGGCTTGTAGGGATGAACTTGTAGTTTACTTGTCTTTTTCCTCCCACAATATATATATATTTTTATTTTTTAGACTTATTTCTTCACCGCAGAATCATCACATGCTCCTTCAGTATCATACCAAAGATTGTTTCTAAAACACATGCTGAAGTCATGTGAGGAGAATTGCATTGAGATCGCTGATGAACTTTATGAAGCCTACGGTGATGTGTGTGGTAAAGCAGAACACTTGGATAACAAGTGCTTTAAAACATATGTTCTGGTGAGGATCATTCAGAAATTAGAGTATACAGGACAGACTCTAAGAGTAGGAAGATTTCTGCATAACTCCATACTATTAATATTCTAGAACAAATCCCTGGTCCCAAAGGCAATCTGTTGTTTTGCCATTTCATCCAAGAGCTGTACGCATGATAACATATGGATTCACTCAGAAATCTTACCATCAAAAACGACATTCATGAAAGTGCCAAGGTTTAAGAAAATTATGGAAGACATGTGCAATTGTGATATGTAAAGAGCACATGTGAAGGAGTTTATCCCTGGGGAATTGTTCCCCTGGGGCATTTTGGAAAAGGCAACTCCTTAAAAAAGACATCCACAACTGGAAAGTGGATGGTCATTTTTACTTGGCGTGTGAAGGGCTTCTGGTGTCATGCTGTTTGTGTCAGATAGGGAAAAAATCTAGTACAAGCATAAGATGGGTGTGTATTTTTTTCAGGCCTTATTTTCACTACTACTTAAGTAGTGTTCATTACTGCAAGGATCGCTTTCATTTATATTTCTTAAAACTACAGTGCACATTATATGATTTTCATATATTCACAGTCATTGATCAGGAAATATTTAGCATATGAGTGGGTGAATTATCTCTAAAACTTGACTAACAATTTCCTTAGTAGAGGGAGATAGTTTTATAATGGCTTCTTCTTGTCAAATAAGCCATAAGGTTAAGCAGGGGAAAGACAAATTTGGGTTAAACTTTTGGTCCCTGTTCTAGCCATGCGGAGCCCTGTTAACCCTTGAAGAAACTCAACAGTTTATCTCCAAAGGAACAACAGGACTTAGCAGTTGGATGGTGAGTTTTCAGTTGAGTTTTCCTCTAAGATAATATCATATAATTACTGAATTATGGTAATTTTATGTGTCCAGGGCGACTGTTATCGTTAGATGGAACTGACTTTTTGTAAAAGCCATTGGGGTACAAACCTAGAGAACATTTTTCTGCCTTAGAAAGTGATACTATGTCAAGTTGGAAATGGTTTAAAGTAACCCACAGTCAAATTATGACTGAAAGAACTATAAGTAAGTCATTCTTCACAAATTCTACAAGGGTGGAAGGGTAAGGGGTAGTTTGTGAGGGTGATAATAACAAAATGTTCACATTTGATTTTCTTTTGGAATGATTGATATCACAGGCAGGAGAATACCTTGCTGAGTGGGTACTAGAGAACCCCTCCACATTTCAAGACAGGTAAATCTTGGGATGTCTACGGTACTTGTGTTGTGTACTTCAACACATTACCCATTAATGTTGACATTTCTGCTGGCCACCTATCATTATAAATCTTGCAAATTGTTAGGGAAAATACATGAAATACAGAGGGGCCTATACTGTAAAATCCCATCCAAATGCCATAGTTTTACAGTCAGCCACTTCATTCAAAAGCCTCCAAATCATTCTTGAAGTATTTCCTTGTTTGCACTTTCAAATATTCCATTCACTATTCATTCTCTTTGGTTTGATTTTCCAGATGCATCATAGAGCTGGGCTGCGGTACTGGACTTACTGGACTTTCTATTTGCTCCATGAGTTCACCAAGCCAGTACATATTCAGTGACTGTCATAATGAAGTGTTCAAAGCACTTAAATGCAACCTTGAACTGAATGGATTTGTCATGAGCCAAACAGACAATGAATTACTATATTGCGATTGCAAAAGGACTCGTGAACCTCACACAGAGAGTGACATGCACAAACAACATAAAGAATTGGCTCTCAAGAGTCAAGATAATCATGACTACTCAGATCACAGTTATGCAGCTTCTCAGCATGACTCTAAATTGACTACCAGAAAGGAAATAGCTGTACAAAAGTTTGACCAAATATCACATTGTATGGAATGTTTATCTGACTATTCTGAAAATGGAGATATTCATGACCTGTCAAGTTGTACTACAGACTTCATTGCTCGCTATTTAAGACATCCTTCAAGTAAGATAAGGCACTTAAATGAAGACTGTGCAAATCATTCTTGGGACACTCAAGTTGACATTTGTAAATTAGACTGGACAACTTTAAAGAAGAGTGATTTAAGGAGGTTTTCAACTGGGATCATTTTAGCTGCTGGTATGTAAAGGAATGATTGAATGAACGTTATTTAAGTGTCAGAGTATTTAGCTATATATTATCTAATATTGGACAATAAAAGAACATGTCAAATATAAAATGAAAAAAAAAAAAACAGGAATGCTACAAGTGTTAAAAATATATTTTTTAACGGTATACTTACTCATTGAGTGTAGAACACCCATAGGGTGTGGCTGTGGTGGGGAAATGATGACTAAGTGATGCTAAATCCACGGGATATACACTGGGGAGACCTTGGTGTTGGCACTACTTGGAGATCCTTTGTCCTAAAAGGCTATTTAGGCTAGGTTGACAAGGCTCCACAAACCCACAACAGCTATACTATGCTGCTCTCTTAGTTTCTTACTTCAACAGCTTCTTCTTTGTGATAGATGACACCAAGGATCACTTACTTCAATGCCTTATGACCATAAATGCTCAGTCTGGGGCTTCAGTGCACCATCTTAAATCATACTATTGTTCATCATAGTACACAACATTAAGTGTATTCTGATCAACACCTTAATTCTGGTTGACAAATATTAGTTACAGTCTTGTGACTGGTCAAAATTGACAGTCCTTTAGGACTTTATGATGAATTTGTAAGTGGTATAGGGATCAAAATGTGCAGACAAAGGTTCAGGTCAAAGCACATCAAAAGCAATAATTTGGATATATCAACAAAGTTGAAATGGTAAATTGGCCACTGTAACGGTTACAAAAGCTGACGTTTCGAGTGTTAACCCTTCGTCGGAACGAAGGGCTCCGACGAAGGGCTAATGCTCGAAACGTCAGCTTTTGTAACCGTTACGGTGGCCAATTTACCATATCAACTTTGTTGATATATCCAAATTATTTCGTTACTCCCACCAACACAGCCCCAAACAATTTCTTTCAAAACTATCAGCCTTTACACATCAAAAGCAGTTGGGTTTGCCTTTTAGCTCCCATGTGACTTAAGCATGAGTGTGTTTGAGTTCTCTTTTGATAACTATCAGGCTATAAACATAACCTGTTGTTAATTTCTTTTCTAGATGTTGTTTATGACACTGAATTGACTCCAGCATTAGTGAAAGCTTTGCACATGCTGTTAAAGTAAGTGTCAATCAAGTTAGTATTTTAATATGGTAGCTTCTCATAGAAAGTTACTTTGTCCACGGAAATGTCAATATTTGGGAAAGTTAAGTAATGTTTTAACATGTGCATTTGTTGTAGTACCTGTGGTGATAAAAGGGGGAAGCCTGTTGCTTTCATTGCTTCAACCATCAGGAATCTGCAAACTTATGAATTGTTCCTTAATTGCCTTTGTAAGTAAAGATAACTTCATTTGATTTCATACATAAATTTAAAACATTCTAGTTACAATAAATGCACAGATGGTCCTTTATTTTAAAGATGTTCTGTGAAAAAAAATGATAATTTTGAGGAAGAGCATTTTGTTCAATTTGCAGATGAACACAGGATTTGCTACAGTGAAGTAACCAAGCCAATCAATCAAGTTTTTTATTATGACCAGAGTTGTGAAATTAAAATTATCAAGCTTGAAGTTTAATATTTAATGTACTTTAATTGTGTTATTCCTTAGACAAAATAATGTAACAGCTTTCGTTTGTTCAAAAGCTATCCATACTATATTTTAGTTTACACAGTGGTTTTGAAAGTTTTACCACACAATACAATTTTACATTTAAACAATACCAGTTAACATAATGTTAGAAAAGTTATTAAATACGTGGTACTTTTTAGGTCATTCTTACAAGTAAAACTCAAATTCAGAAGAAGTCAGATGAAACCAGACTGTCATTCAAATGAAAACAATTAATTAATTTATTCTGGCCCTTGTTTCTAACTGATGTAGTCGAAAATCTCAGTCCAAGAGGTCAAAGAGGTTTGTAACCTAGATCATGTAGTGAAATAGCCAAACATTTTATATAATTACTGATCCCAATGAAATTCTATTGTTCTCTCTCTGCATTAAATCAATGATTGTAGTCTTTAGATGACAAAACAACTGTATGAGGAAAATGGAGGCGGTCCTTTATGTTAGCAGGGAAATTATCAGGGGTAATATAATTAAACATGCTAAATAAGCATGCTGCAATGTAAAAAATATTGCAGTGTGCTGGTTACAATTATTAAAAATATTGCTTCTTCCACTCCTCAAAGACTTTCAAAACCTACACCCATTTCCAGTGGCTAATAATAATAATAATAACAATCTTTTATTAGGAAGCTCCATCACAATAGTGGTTTACATAGAGGTCTGAAACCCAACTTTTGTCAAATTTCTCGCATTCTGAAGCTGTAATTGGCATTCTCAATCTTTGCTCTATTTAAAAAGAGAAAATGGAAACACCGCTTTTAAAAGTCTATGAAGAATTAAAGCACTGACAGAAATGTCCAAACGTTACTCTACATTATCTTCGATTCTTGCTGAAATATCAGCCTTTGTAGAGCTCTGTGTAATAAATAATCCTTTGTCTTCCGACGAATCCATCCTCTTTCTAAACCCAGGTTTGCACTGAGTAAAATGACTGAATTCTCTGGCTTATAAAGTATGCAAATTAGCAGTGTTACGCGCCTTGCACAAATTAATTCCATCATTAGAACTGTTTTAAACAACTATAACAACGAGCTACAATAACAACCTTTGGCACAATTAAAATAAGATATATTCATCACAACAAAGAACAATAGCAATGAGCATCACAATTATCACACATAGGTGCGACTAAAATCGAAGATCCAACACAGACACAGAACAATAGGATTTCATGGGGATCAATAATTATAATAATTACTTCGGCACATGGCATCATGAGAAATATTGCAGCCAGCTTTGGCCTACAGCCTCAGCTGGCTGCAATATTTCTCATAATGCTATATGCCTCAATGATTATCCATTAAGTATTGCCTCTTTGTGGGATTAGCTAGCAACCTTAAAAATATATCATTACCTTCAAAGGGTGGTTACTTTAAAAACTTCAGAGTAATCCACCCTTTGTGATCATTTTCATATTTCAGTTTCATTAATTGTAACCTTATTTTTACCTTAAAAATATCTTATAGGATTCTCCAACTTGAAAATTTCTTCTCTCATAGATTTTAGGTGTGGGCTACAGTCCAGTGGCTGTAACAGAAGTTACATATTAAGTTATCTAAAAGTAAATATTGGTTGCCTGTTACAAGTGCACAGAACTTTGCATTTCCATGCAGGGCTGTAAGAACACAGCCCTGCATGGAAATGAAAGGACAACAATAGCCTATACATATGTACATTAAAAAATATTGATAGATAAAAACACTTTTTAATACACCTACACTTTCTGTAATACATATTCATATTAATTTAATAATTAAAATTTAAATGGCTATTCATTACAAAATGTTTAAAGCTTTGATTAAGAATAACAATTATAATAGAAATAATTACAATAATATCCTTTATTATCCAACTACACTTCGTAGAGTACAAATAACGCCATAGACAAGTACAAATACCATGCGGTATTTGTACTCTTGAGTACCAGTTAAACAAGTTTTCTCGCATCGCACAAGCGAAGAGTTGAATTGTAGTTACGAAAAAAAAAAGGGCGGACAATTTGAATCCTATTTCCGATGATGAAGAGTTAGAATGGCTGGAAAATACATCCAAGTTTATTAGATGAATTGAATGAAGAAAAACAGCTAGACGACCTGGAAATGTCTTCATATATTGAAGAAAATAGAAACAGCAACATGACAACGCGCCAATTCCATTCCACTTCGCATACTTCTGTCACGCACTCAACGTAAATAAATATCCGCGAAATTCGCCCACACTGAAATAACAGTTTGGCGTGTTGGATAATAAATAACTTATTAGATGTTTTGTTGTGTAGTATTGCTGAGTATTTTTACTCGTTATTTGTATTTTGACTCACCCTACAGGCTCGTCAAAATATGGCACAACTTGTAAAAATACTCAGCAATACTACACCACAGAACGTCTAATAAGATATATAAACTTCTCCTCAACCCTTTCATTGCTTCAAATGCAGTTTTCACACATTCCACACAAGTCATATG